CCGGCGAAGAACTCACCACGTCGGCGGTGGGAGCAACAGGTGTGAGCGGCGCAACCCTAAACCCGCACGAGCGAATGCGAGAGGGGGAGAGTGAGGAGGGCACGAGCTGATGTTTCTAGTGCAGCCAAATGGCTGGAGAGGCTAGCTGCACGGCTGGGCGGGAAGGCCCATTATGGGGGGTACGACCCCGGATACCCACGACAGACCACATGGGCTGCACCCCCAGGGGTGGCCCAGCCCACAAGACGAAGCCTTGCAGGGAACGACGCTGCTCGGTGCCTCCCGCAAGACACTGGGAAGATATCCTGAAGATACTATAAGATCTGTTAGGATACGTATGATCCCATGATTCCTGCAATATGTTATTACTTTTTGGTTATCTCCTAGATCTAACCGACTTGTAACCCTGCCGCCCGGACTATATAAGGTGGGTAGAGACCCCCTCGAAACTCACGCAATATCATACGATAACCAATACAATCCAATAGACCATAGGAGTAGGGTATTACATCATACTGATAGCCTGAACCTATCTAACTCGTGTGTCTCTGTTGCCTTCTTGTTCTCGATTACACACGCATCTCTGTCGATCAATCTACCTTCATGGGATACCCCTCAGAGGACTGTCGATGATATTCTATCGACAGTTGGTGCGCTAGGTAGGGGTGTGCATGCTGATCCATGGCGAACTAGATGGGATCTCAAGATCGACGCCGCTCATGGCAACTTGACTTCCTGCAGCGGCAAACTTTAGTAGCCTAACAGGCTCGATATCACTCGGTGATGGAATCAATCTACTACGCCGGCAACTCAGTCTGCTATAATGGCGTTCGCCGACAACCTGACGAGACTCGATGTCGGATTCAACATCGTGTTCAAGGATCAGTCTACTACTTGGAGCTTTCTGTTCTGTGCATCAGCTACTCGGCGTCTCTCTCGGCGATAAGTTCCAACGGAGCCACCGGATCAGATCAGATAATCAAACGCGGTGCTGTACCTGTACCGAAGGCAGCGACAAATTATTTTATTGGCTGCTGTTGCACGTTAATCGAGGCGAAGCTCAGATCGCCATTGTGCGGCCCCAAGATTCTAGTTCGTCTACTTAGATCGATTCAATGCATGCCAATTACTAGAGCCATGCAAAGCTAGTTGTATGTGCTTACGTATATACGTCTACATGGAAGGAAGGCCAACTACAGATTGTTGCGGCACTTGCATGTGCACATGCACACATGGAGCCGTCAAGCCACCAAGCGAGCTGTTAAGCGAGCTGTCCGTGTCGCCGACCACTAATATAAGGATGACGTCGCCCGGACTACTCAATCTGACCACCTACCACGTCGCAATAATGACCGCCGCCACGACGACATGCCAGAAAGCTCAAGGGTCGGGCAATTTCGTCAACGTCGACCAGATAAGGCCATACGCCGCCAACCAGACATTTTGTCTAAAGCTAAGTCACGCTTTAATATTCTTCTAAATATTCTCCAATCTTCGTACATCGCCATAATATTTCTCCGAGCTGTTTTCTCCATGTTTGCTCTCCAAACGATTTTCTGAACCCCTGAACAGTCATGTTGACGCTTGGATGTCCCAGAGATGGCCCTGTCTTTGGCTCCTCCCTACACGTGCATGAGCGTCTGCCCTCTGTGTTATGGGTGGTCAGCAGCGGCTCCTTAGCGACGCTTTGCTCTTCCTACACACACGGGCTCCGCGCTCCGCGTTATGGTTAACAGGCTAGTTAGGGCTGGAGACTCAGCTACACACTAACTAGTCGGACGGTTTATATTAAATATAAATACAACTTCACACCAACTGATCGCCGAGCTGCATATACTATTTCATCGCCACTGCTGATTTTTCTCTGGAGTTCATATATTTTTACATCATGTACTACCCGTTCTACATATTTGTATTGCAGGATCATTGTCTAGGTGATCGGACCACCTGGTGCTCAGACTTCTCCACCGATCAACTGGTCAGACCGCTAGGTTCATGGACTTCGTCGCCGACCAGTTTATCGGACTGTTCGTCGGTCGCTTCTACTCAATGCTCACTTCACCGCCGACCAGTTGAACGGACTGTTCGTCGCTCGTGCTACATTGCTAGCTACGCCGAGGACTCCTCGGTGCTCGGACATCACCAGCTACACCGGGGACTCCTCGGCGCTCGGACATCGCCAGCTGCGTCGGGGACTCCTCGGTGCTCGAACATCGCCAGCTACGCTAGGGACTCCTTGGTGCTCGGACATCACCAGCTACGCCGGGGACTCCTCGGTGCTCGAACATCGCCAGCTACGCTGGGGACTCCTCAGTGTTCGGATTTTTCGTGCAAGCGTCGCCAGCTAAGCTGAGGACTCTCTTGGTGGTCGGATCTTGCTACGTCTCATCAGTGTGCTATCAAGCTGCTCCATGTTGTTCGGATCAGGGTGCTGATCTTGGGCAGCATGTCTAGGGTCTTGATACGCGCATGTCAGATGATGTCGGCAGGCTTTCAAACTTCTTTTTTTTTGACCCTGCTACAAGATTCATTCTTCATCTTCCAACAGGCTCGGGGACTAAGTCGCTACACTTCACCTGGGGGGTGAATGTAGTATTTATTTCTTCATTTACCCTTCTTATTGATGGAGTCTAAGTGGCTACACTTCTCCTAAGTGGAAGAATTTTCAAATTTTATCTTGAGCTCCTTACATTCTTATGGCAAGCCTTACTTGGGATACACTTCTCGGCGACGGTTCACACTGCTCAGCGATGGCTCACACTGCTCGGCAACTCATCACGGTGGTCGGACCATGAGTTTGACTGCTCGGCTTTGTTCGCACCTGCTCGGACAGGCTCAAAACGGTGTTGCACAACGGATACAAGGTTCTCGGGGACTAGCTGTGGGGAGTACGACCCTGGATACCCACGGCAGACCACATGGGCTGCGCCCCCAGGGGTGGCCTAGCCCACAAGACGAAGCCTTGCGAGGCACGACGCTGCTCGACGCCTCCCACAAGACACTGGAAAGATATCCTAAAGATACTACGAGATCTGTTAGGATACGTATGATCCTATGATTCCTGCAATCTGTTATTACTTTCTGGTTATCTCCTAGATCTAACCGACTTATAACCCTACCCCGGACTATATAAGGCGGGTAGGGATCCCCTCCAAACTCACGCAATATCATACGATAGCCAATACAATTCAACAGACCACAGGAGTAGGGTATTACATCATACTAACGGCCTGAACCTGTCTAACTCGTGTGTCTCTGTTGCCTTCTTGTTCTCGATTACATGCATCTCTGTCGATCAATCTACCTTCATGGGATACCCCTCGGAGGATTGCCGACGATATTCTGTCGACACCCATTCAGCTCCAGCCAAAACCAGCCACGAATGTGACCAGCCGAACGGGGCTCTTGTAAGTTGTGACGTCAGAGGAGAGGAGGGGGGGCCAAAGAAATGGCATCGCCGGTGGCCATCGGCACGGCGGTGTTCCATCTAGGGCCACACCGCGTGGATGCGAGGCACGTCGACCACAACCAGGTCCCCAGCGTGCCCAAGCCGCTCATGGTGGTCACCCCCACCGATGCCGGCGACTACCCCGTCGCCGTCTTCCTGCACGGTTGCAGCATGTTCAACAGCTGGTACGAGAGCCTCCTGTCGCACGTCGCGTCCCACAGGTTCATCGCTATGGCACTCTAGGTCCGCCTCTGTCGTCGTCCTCGACGTCGTCGTGCGTGCCCGCGCTGCACCATGTTTCCGTTCTTTTCCTGATCTCTGAAAATACATCTGCATGCATGTCGTCGCCGCGGCTCATCATAGCTCAGCGACATACTGCCGGCGCTCAACATGAAAGACTCGAAAGGACATCGACGACACCAGGCAGGTCATCTCCTGGCTCGCTGACAAGCAGCAAGGCCTAGCGCATGTCCTCACCAACATCCTCCACCTCCACGGCGTCAGACCGGACCTCTCCAGGCAGTGCCGGTCCTAGGATTTCATCTCATCACAATAGCCCCTCTTACCCATGTATAAAATCTTATAATATATAGGTATTAATTTTACTGGTAAAACGAAAGCAAATTCAATAACATATTTTTAATTTAACATATTTGATCATTATCGAGGAACAATGTAGATTAAGCAATATATTTGTAGATATATGATAATTATCGAGGAACAATGTAGATTAAAAAAAGCAATATATTCGTTTTCTTTTCTCACCCATGACAAATGTTTCTTTCTAACACCTAAATTAGAAGAAAAATATGACTATATGGGTACAAAGTACTAGAAGTCTGCAATACTATACAAATAATTAATTTGGATTAAAAATAAAAAGGAAAAAAATACCATGGGCCTAAACAACTGATCGGTGATCGCAATTCGTAAGAAGCCAAGAATCAAGATGTCGTCGTCGTGGAGCCCTGCCTGGTCGTCGTCCTCGTGCGCCGTGTCCGTGTCTCTGGTAGTTTAGCTCATCGCGGCGGCGCGGCTCACCAGCTCCGTGTGTGTAAGGCGCACATCGCGAACTCACAATCAGAGTGTGCTGTGTGCAGCATGACTTCTCGACTCCTCTCTGCCCGAGGGCCGTGGGGAAAAAAAATTAGGAAAGAAATACCGATGTTGTATTTTTGGACCGTCTGGCCAGTTCTATGTCTCTTTTCTCATTAGTTTACTAATATCTAATAGACTATAGGACCTAGCGGCTTGTATACCTGGGCTTGGTGCCTCCTCCACTTGAGCCCTCGGCCATCGCACCTCGTGCCCTACCCCTAGGGCCGGCACTGTCTCCAGGCTGGCGCTGGCGGGCCACAGCCGCGGCGGCGACACCGCCTTCGCCGTGGCCCTCGGGCTCGGATCCTCTCAGACACCGCCGCAGCCACCACGCCAGCATCGTCGCTCAAGTTCTCCGCCCTGATCGGCGTGGACCCCGTGGCGGGGCTAATCCAAGCAGTTGCAGCTGGAGCCGAAGGTGCTGACCTTCACGCCCCGGTCCCTCGACCCGGGGATGCCGGCGCTGGTCATCGGCACGGGGCTCGGCCCCAAGCATGTCGGCTTGTCGCCGTGCGCCCCCGCGGGCGTCAACCACACCGAGTTCTATGATGAGTGCGCGCCGCCGCGGTACCACGTCGTGGTGAGCGACTACGGGCACCTGGACATGCTGGACGACGACGGCGTGCCCTACGTCATCAACAACAGCATGTGCATGAGGAACACCAAGGACCTCGCCAGGAGGGCCATCGGGGGCGCCATGGTGGCGTTCCTCAGGGCCAAGCTGGAGGACCACGACGAGGATCTCAAGGCCGTGCTCGAGAACAGCCCTGGGCTCTCGCCGGCGGTGCTCGACCCAGTTGAATATGACTTGGCTTGATGAAGCCATGGATGGGCCGGGCAGGTTGCAGGTTGCGTTGGCAATGGAGTGGCAGGTGCGTATGGCTGGCCGGTGTCGACGTTTCCACTTCTTAGAATTGAATAATAAGCACTCGGATGCGTGTATGCTGGTGTGCCTTTTCTATTTAATCGTCCATTTAACTTGTTTAATTGACCATTTAGCGTTTAACTGACTGTTAGCGTTTAGAAAAACACTGGTGCTATGTACCATTATCATGCATGTCATGTGATCATGTAAGCGCGCTTTTAAATTTCTTGAATAAGCAGAGCACTCAGATATGTGCAGTGTTCGTGCTACAATTTTTGGCGCAACTTTTTCTTGATGGGTGGCAGAGAATACCTAAGCGCTAGCTACATTGTTGCTCCTTTCGGTAAGACTGTCTCCAATGAGGAGACTCAGACTCATTTTTGCGTCCCGCATAGTTCTTTGCCTTCCCGAAAACGTCCTCCAACAGCAGACCCATACACCCGACGCATTTTACCTGCTCCCCTAAACGCTAGGCAAAAAAGCGTCCCCTCTCTCATCGCTACGCAAATCGCCGAGCTCGCCTAAGCAAGCGGAGCTTCGCCGCGCCGCCGCCGCGAGGGCTTCGCCAGCTGAGAGGCGGAGCTCGCCTGGCCCCGCAGAGGCGGAGCTTCGTCGCGGGTGGCAGGCGGAGCTTCGCTATGAGCGGAGCTTCGCCCGCGCCCGCCGCCGGTGTTGGAGGAGGAGCGTGCGGCGAGGCGGGGAGCGGGGCGCGGCCGTCGGGGAGCGGGGATCCGGGGTCCTCCGCGCCGGGGCGGAGCTCGCCCGCGCCCGCCGCCGGTGTTGGAGGAGGAGCGCGCGTGGAGGCGAGGACGGACGAGGCGGCGACCTCCGGCGGATTTGGGGATTTTGCGTTTACGGTTGTTGGAGCGGCTCACTTTTGGGTTGTGACGTTTTTTCCTGTGCCGGACCCAAACCGAGATATAGGTGTTGTATTTGGGTCTCATAGTTGGAGTCAGTCTAAGGTCCAAAGCTTTACACAACACATCGCATTTTTCGTTTGTCCTCATGTTCCACTTGCCACAACTGTCCACCGACCACCGGTGTGCTATGAATAGCAAGGATATGCATGTGGTAGTATTATATACTACATGCGTCTGAAGAAGAATACAACTATAGGACTTATCTTAGTCAAACTAGTTTAAATTTAACTAAGTTTGTACAAATAGTACTAATATCTATGTCTCCAATAAATTTTATACAAATTATGTTTCATAATTAATCTAATGATACTTATTTTGTATTATGCATGTTAACACTCTTAGCCAATGTTCAAATTGTTTGACTTCTAAAAAAGTGATAATTGCTTTTTTTTTATGGACCGAAAGGGTATCATATATTATTGTGATGTGACACTGTTAGCGCGCTTCCAAAATTCGTAGAGGTCGACGGAGATTGCTCTGATGCAAATACAAAGGAGCAACATTTAGGGCATGAAGGATTTGCACATAAATTTTACATAAATCAGTTTAAATTTTACTAAAAATACATAAATAGAAAAAGGTCCCGTGTTCCCAATAGGATCTAAACGAATACAGTGACTGAATAATCCTATTTTCACCGTCACTGGTACACAGAATGGCGGTTTTAAACCTATTTTCACTGGCGCTTTTATTTAACAATCGTTAGCCTATTTTCACTGGCACTTTTATTTAACAAACCCTAGTGGTAAAAGGCTAGTAAAAATCAGCTAACTTTACTAGCGTCAGCTAAGAACCACCACTGTAAATCGGAGAACCATCACTATAAATATTTACATTGTCAGTTTTATTAGGAAAACCGCCACTGTAAATCGGAGAAAACCACCACTGTAAATGATTTTTCAGAAATTACAAATTGGGCTAAAAATAGCAATTTTTTCTGATTTCTAGCATTTTTTCATTTTCATGATAAATTCACGTAAGTCGCAATATGCGGGAATCAAACTCACAACCCCAGACTTCACGTGATACACCCCTCACCACTACACTCCAAAGTGACTTGTGACTTAGCAACATAAACAATCCCCTAGTATTTACTCTGCTAGATTTTGAAATGAAGATTTTACCCTAAACGAATTTAAATGAAAAGGTTTCAACTATAGAGTTATAGATCTCGTCGAGATCTACCGGCTTTTTAGAGGCATCTACAAATGATTTTTAGAAGCGTCTGCTTAGCCCATCTTTATTGTGCATCTCTAGAAAACAAAAATTTTGCCCAATTTGCAACTTTGGTCTAGATTGTTTTTGTCCATCAGAGACTATTTGTAAAATTAAAAGCAAAGGTATTTCAACCAATCAAATTACTCTCTTTTTTTCTTGAATACGCAAAAGATTTGCGTATCATAATTACGAACCGTCCCTTGAAGTCGATCTTAGATAGGGCTAGAGAGCGTCTCTAGAAATTGATCTTTTATTACGGCTAGAAAGCCTACGATGAGATGACGGCTCCGTTCACTTCGCTGAAAAAACAAGCTGAGACACTGTTCCGACTGATTTGTTGTGAGAGAAAAACACTGTTCTGGCTAAAAAAACAAACTGAAAAAGACGGATTATAAGATAAACGAACAAGGCCGAAGCCATGTTCCCCTTGCACTCTGCGTTAACGATCATTGGATTTCCCATTAGCTCGTCGTCCTTTACCGTATCCAATTGTAATCTAGCACCTCTTCGGCTCTTGCCAAGCACGTGCTGCATGACCATGTACTTGGACGACACCATACCATGAGCGTGAGACTTTGTACGTGTCGATGAGAGAGCCTAGCTAGTAGTATAATTGTGACGTGACTCGCTCGCGTGTCATCCTCACGCATGTTGCTTTCTTCAATTTGTTCGATTTCGAAAGATCGTCTATCAGGTGCCCTCGCGGCCTTGTTTTTTTATTTAACATGGATGAACAGTGATAAAGTGAAACGATTATAGCACTGAAACGATCACGCTAGCAATAGCATGCCTCTGCATCCGGATACATGACAGCTACTACAAACTGCTGGGTAATGAAAACACAAGGGGAAAGCGATCTGACTGACCGACTGTTAGCAGTCCAACTCTGAAACTGGAAGCATGGGAACACTCACAGCAGGAGCAGGTACAAAGGTGCAAATCATGGCCTTATCTAGCTAGCTTAATTAATTCCTAGTACGCGATGCACTGCTATTTTTTACTACCGTACCATCTGGCTTCATGTTACTTGTTTCTTGTTCAGCAGCCTGATGAACATTATCCCGGTCTGTGTTTGATTTGGAGAACAGAGCCAACGACTCCATGGCATTCCGTATCTGCATTTGAGGAAATTGAGGCATCTATCAGCTGTAGCATCATACCAATAGGTAAAGTGACTAATCGAAGCAGGATGTAAAAGCTAGTGTACAAACATCTTATTCTTGGTAAAATTGGGAAGATGGACTCTAGCACTCGCAGAAGTATACTAGTTTTTATCATCAAATTCTCTCAAAAACTGAAGCTATACGTTGACTGTTGAGCAGAGTAGAACAACCAAGAAAGAAGACTTACGTATTACAGAAGTCCTCATTCTGGATCACTACACGGTTAGCAATCATTCAGGCGCACTCAAATTCAGGTTAGAATTCAGTCTTTGTTCGGTTCCTTATATTTTTGCACAGACAGAAGACCGTGCATAACCGATTCAAGAGCTGTCGCGCCGCGCAACAGTAGAATCCCCAGCTGGAACTGGAAGTTATCATGTTAAGCCAAAGCAAATTACTGATTGCTGTATCCCAAGCAAGTTAAAGAGTTGACCCAAAAAAAAAAAACTATGCTAGCTACTAGCCGAATTGGAACAACAGGCATTGGGGTAGCTGATAGACGATCTATCCTAGTCCTAGTCCTAGTCCTATCCATGATCTAACTTTTCACTCACAATCAGACTAAGCAGTCGTATTAAAGGAGTACGGTGCGTACGGGGTTGGGGTAGCTGGGGCCGTAGTCGGCGGTGAGGAGCAAGTAGGCGGCGGTGGCTGCGCCGACCATCGCCGTCCGGCGAACTATCCTGTCGGACCTCGGGACCACCGGCGGCATCGCTGCAATGCCTTGGTCGCTGGAGGCGGCGTCGCGCGTGTGGAAAGCGGCGGAAGCGGGGAGCAGAGGGGACGAGACGAGACTAGAATGTACGCACGTCTAGCGGAAGCAGAACCGGCTTGGGCCCTTTTTAAACAACGAGATTCGGATTGTTTTGATCACCCAGTGAGGCACACATAGTTCCAGTACCTTTTCACTGAGTGAGTGCTTTTTCTAAAAGTTGTTAAATATGGTATTCTTCTGTTGTAAAATCAAAATTGTCTGGGTGGTTTAGTTGGTTAACACGTTAGTCTTACACGCTAAAGGTCCCCAGTTCTCGAACCTGGGCTCAGACATAATATTTTTATTTTTTTTTCGAATTTGGGCTCAGACATAATATATTTTTATTTTTTTCACTTCACTAGTTCACTAATAGCATTACTTTGATTTATATTTTTTCACTAGTTCACTAATAGCATTACTTTTTTCACTAGTTCACTAATAGCACTACTTTGATTTATCTTAGTTCAGTTCGAATTTGGGCTCAGACATAATATATTTTATTTTTTCACTAGTTCACTAATAGCATTACTTTGTTTTATATTTTTTCACTAGTTCACTAATAGCATTACTTTGATTTATTTTAGTTCGCTAATAGCATCACTTTGATTCGCAGTTTTTTTCACTAGTACACTAATAGTGGTACTTTGATTTATTTTTTTAAGTAGCAGTACTTTTACTGTCAAGTGTTTGATAATGCGTATATTTTTCTTTACTAGTAGCAGTAGTTTGATTTTTATTTTTTTACTGTTGATTTTAATTTTTTAATAACAGTACTTTGATTGTCAAGCATTTGATAATGCCACCCATTTGTTGTACTGCCTTCACGAGCAAATTAGTAGACACGTGTTTAAAAGAAGTTTTTTTACGAGGATCAATAATAGAAGTCAATAGTTTTTTACTGGTGCAGGACTTTTTTTTTAGTAGCAGTAGGAGTACTTTGATTTTTATTTTTTAGGCCCCCTTTGGAATACAGGAATTTTACAGAAATTGTGTAGGAATTTCAGAGGAATCAGTTCATTTTCATATAAAAACGTAGGAAATGGAAAAGAATCCCGTAATCCAAAGAGGCCCTTACTAGTAGCGGTACTTTAACCAGCATGTATTTGATGATGGCACACATCGAGCTGTTCGGTTGATGGTTTTTGCGGCTGATAAGCCGATTGATGATGTTTTGTTGTAAGAGAAAAACACTGTACCATGGCTGATAAGCCAGACTGATAAGTTCAGGTTTACTGCTGAACCAGGGCTTAGATTGTCAGACATAATATATATATATTTTGTACTTTTTTTTACTAGTAGCACAGCGCTATAGCAATACTTTGACTGTCAAGCATTTGATGGTGCCACTTGCCACAGATACTGTAGTGCCTTCACGAGCAATAGTAGACACGTCTTTAGATGAACTTTTCTTCACGAGGACAAATATAGGACATAAATGGATGTCAAGTTTTAAACTTCAAATCTTTGAGCAATAATTTGACTAACAATTTTTAACTAATATAACACAATATTGATATAGTTAGATTTATATTTAAATCTAGTATCCAATCATCATAAGTTTATAAGTATAAATAATATAAAATAAAATAAAATAGATGGTTAAAATTTAACTTAGGAGATCGTGTCATGTTAAGCCGTGTCTTATAAAAGAGAATGAAGGGAGTATAACTCAATTGTTACATAAAAATATTCATGGTCATGTTGGTGACAAAATTCAACCATATCACAATTTGCTTTTAGTTCACTATAATGTAGTGCTGAGTGTATTATTGATAATTATTTAAGTATGTTATAATGTAGTGATGAGTCCATAATTTTGATATACAATTTACAAAGTAGCATAAAGTGTAAATTTAATTAGATGGTGTTAACAATTAAAACGCTAGAGTTCATGAATAAGAATAAGAATATTAACATAGAATATCTAGATTTAAAATTCAAACCTAAAGAACTTAAAATGTATTAGCATTGGTTCCTAGATTGTTAATAAAGTCTGAGCCAACACTACAAAACATTTTATTGGAGTTTGCAAGCATTTTAAAACACTAAGAGGGTGTTTGGTTGCCCGCCATCCCACGCCACAACAGAGTTAAGGCTGCCACAATCATCAAAGCAGCTGTTTGGTTGAGCATTAAGTTTAGGTTCGTCACAACATTTTCAATTGGCCGAAGTAGTGAATCTCGTTTGATTTCCACGGCCTCACCTTCGATGCCGCCACAATATGGTGTGGCAACATACGACCCAAAACCAAACATCCCCTAAGAGCCTATCTGGAACATAAGATTTAAAGAATTATGTAGAAATTTCATAAAAATCAAATGAAAAAACACAGGAAATAGGGAAAATCATATATTCCAAACATGACTAAGGCTATGTTCTGCTGCACTACTTCAATAATACTTTTCAGCAAACGGACAGTATTTTTCTCTAACAACATTTCAGCATAAGCCAAATTTATATCTATAATGTACAAAAAACGAAACTAACAAAACCATCCGGGAAGTGTTCAATTAAAATTTATATAAGAATATACTCCCTCCGTCTCATAGAGAATGTCATTCCCACCTCTCGAGAAGTTAAATATTTTTAACTTTTATCAATTATACATAAGAATATTAATATTTATAATGCAAAATTAGTATGAATCACTGAATATATATTTATAATAAATTTATTTAATGATATAAATATTGTTAGTATCTATATCTATATCTATCTATATCTCTTATAAAGAAAAATCACACTATAAGTTCTATCTCATACCACAATGTTCCACGTGATCACTATTATTTCAATCATTTTATCCTAAGTAAATAAATAATCAACTTATCTTGGCCAACTGGCCGTCAGTTGTCCTCTTTGAGTGCATTTTCAATTCCTGTTATTTTGGCCAATTGTTCTCGGTGACCGTGAGTGCTTTTTCAATTCCTGCAGGCGGCAGTGCCAGTTGCCATTGTGAAAACGAATAGGGAAAAAAAAAGTAGACCTATAAATTCAATCCCCCTCCCTCGCATTGTCGACGCGGTGCGCGGTGCCCTTGTCGGGAACGCACTCTACTTCTTGTTCCAGAGGAGGACCAGGATCCTCAAGTACGACCTGTCCACAGGCGACATGTCTGTGATTCAACTGCCTCCGGCGTCCCATAGTTGAGGGATGTCGTGCACCGTGCTCACGACCACGACCACAGAGGACGGAGGCCTGGGATTCGCAAGAGTGGAGGGCGACAAACTCTGCCTCTGGTCAGTGGAGGCTAGGCCCAACGGCGGTGCCGTGGCAATGGAATGGACACAGGACAGAGTAATTGACCTCAGGAGCCTGCTCCCCATCATCGATTTGCTTGGATTTGCGGATGGCCTTAGCATGATTTTGGTGGGGACGATTGATGGCTGCTTCTCCGTTGATCAAAAGTCTGGCCGGATCGACAAGCTTGTAGATGGCCCTGACTTCTGCAGTGGTATTGTTCCCTACGTGAGCTTCTACACTCCAGGTACGTGGGGCAAATTGCTTAATGCTTCACTTACCAGAACTATCAGAATGAGTAGGACAGTAGATTTATGAACCATGGTGTGTTACAATGAGTTTATTTATCACAATCTCTTGTCAAACTGGGTCATCTGATATACATGTAGCTGATCGATGGATGTGGGGCTCTGATGATTGGTATTATTTTGGCCAAGGTTGGAACTTATCTAGCAGATAAAGACCAAAAAAGTTATTGCCTACATGAGTTACCCTCCGGATAGGTATTACTGTCATGTCCATCCTTTAACCTTATATATATGTTCCTTTGTTGTGATTTAGCAGTTTTAAACATCAAATGAAGAATGTGGATGATATATGCTGAGCAGAGAGAGGTGTTTCTCTAGATTTTGAGCCTAGCTTATCTTATCGACTTTACTATGCAAGCGCTGTTTGGTTAACCATTAGCAGGACCTTGTGGGCCCTTGTGGTTATGAATAAACAAATGTTTCATCAATGACAAATTCCTTCTTCAATCTGCTGATGCTGTTTTCATTATTTTTTTTGTGTGTTTCTACAGCACTGGGAACGGCATCTACAGATGAGGGACCAAGTGCGAATGCATGAAGTGCATAGTCTCTCCTAAATCAAGAAGGAAGCGTGCGGTCAATCTTTCATGGTGGGATTTGTGGTAGGATCACTCTTGGGGATCCATGAATTTGCTGCTGGTTTTGTTAGGCTGTCCTCCATGGTTTGATCATTGTGATGGTTGACGCAATTATTAGTTACTAGAATTAATCATGTTGCTTCCTTGATCTGCATGCCTCAAGCATTTGTTAGCAAGCCATAGTGTCAAGGGAGTCGATCAGTTGTGTTGTTTCCACTATCCACTAGCATTACTTATTAGTGCTCTAAGGGCAGCAATGTATTAAATCTAGCAAACATATATGCAATATTATGGAATGAAAAGTGGCAGCCGTGTTGAACAAACCCATGGGATGTCTCAACTTCTCCAAGTGAAAGCATGCGTCTCTGTGTTCTGTCTGGTGTGCCTGTGCGGAGTGCGTCTCTGTGATCTGTCTGGTGTGTGCTTGTGCGTGGGTGTGCGCTGGGACGGCTCTGCAAGTGAGGGATCAAGTGCGAGTGCATGAGAAGTGCAAGGCCTCTCCTAAATTGACTAGGAAATGTCCAGAGGCAACCATAAGTGGGGCCTGTGTTTTACTCCTACATCACTCTTGAGAATCCGTGATTTTGCTGCCGTTTTGGTCTGCTGGCCGCCTCCTTGATCATTGTGTGAGAAATTGTATGCTTCCTTGATCATTGTGTGAGAAATTGTAATGCTTCCTTGACCATTGTGTGAGAAATTGTTCGGCTAGCCTCTCATTGTGTGAGCATTGTAGCCCAAAGTACCAGCAGCATCCTACTCTCTGTTTGGGAATGAACACAACTTGTTTGCTGGTAGTCCACTGGCCATGGCTGTACCATGCGTCACCAGTTGAGATATTGTGCTTAGGCTACAACCCAGAAATGGCATCGCAATTTAGCAAAGGCAAATAGTGAAATAAGAGCCTTCAGCGGCAGTTGCTCAGTCATCCTCCACATTCTTCAATGGAGCAAAGACCTCTGCGGATGTTAAGATGCCGTGGAAACCCCACCATTATAAATTTTTTAACTGGCTCAACCAAACACCAATTCTGGCTAGCTTAGCTAGCAAGTAACCGTTCTATACAGCGTCATACCATCATCAATTTATCATCTTGCAAAATCGCACAAGTACACTCTTCACACTTCATCACTGATGGCATCAGCCACAACTTCAAGCAGTCGCTGACAAGAGAACCCATAGGTAAAAGATGAAATGCATTGAACTGAAACTTTCTATTACAAATAGTTACATCATTTGTCTGTGTTTCCTCTTGCGAGGGCAACTGCATAGTAGCTTACATGACTAGAACATTCTAGCTTATAAATACTCTCCTTCAGTATGAGGAGCTCAAGTAATGTTTAATTAGATTCAATCACGGCGGGCTCAGATCCTTTTTATTGTCCACTTGGATCTCAGACCTCCAGCAAACGAGCTTTCTCATTTAGAATCGTCCCAGACCCTTCCCATAGCTCCCACAGCTCATTCCGTAACCATGACAAGTACATGACAGGCCCCAGTGTCGATGGCACCTGAAAGCCACAAACTGTCAGAATGAAGAGCAAACATGCTATAAGAATCACACCATAGCTTGAAACTATACTATACCATGACTCAATCCTATGAGATACATACACGTGACCAAGTCAGAGAAGCATAATTTAACAGAACGAAAAACAGCAGTGATGTTCGAAACCTGACTGTATAACCTGACAACACTTACCAAGTACAGTAAGGCTGGTTGGGGAGACTGAGACAAGATCCCAGCAGCTAGTGCAGCTACCAACCCAATGCCATACCCTGTTAGAGCATACCACACATAATTCCGCCGTTTTGGAGGAGACATGTCTGATGGAACATTCACATCCTTGAACTTCCGGTTATCAAAAAAGAGTACCAGAGCTAGAAGCATCCCTGGAATGGCCTGCAGGGAGAAACAAGAATCTAGGTGGTTAAATTCAAATCATCAGTGGTACGAATGGATTTTACTCAAAAGCATGAGCGAAGTTATAAGTTACAGACTAGGCAGAAAGAGACTCAAATCACTATGATGCAGTCATGCTGCTTTTGAAAAAAATCCTATGTGGTGAATACACAAATCATCAATAACCAGCAGCAGGTGTGCTGTATATTGTAACCACAGGAGTACACAAAACGTAGCTCTCATCAGTGTCATTGGATAATTTTCGGCTTAAAAACTTACAAGATCAGGCATACTTTTGCTATTTATAACGCCACAGCTGTTACTTGGTCCGTTTCATCTCTGAACCGAGAACTTTGGATAAGCAACATGCAGGAAGGAAGCAGATTTTCCCAATTAGCACGGATGCAAGTTCTCTTTTCTCTGGGTCATTGGATTGACCCAAAACTCATCAAAATGAACTTATACGATTTCAAAGCAAGAAAAATAGAATGCAAATGAACTGATTGTTCTCCGCTTCTTGCAGCTACCACGTTTTGCCTAAGGTTAGTTGTGGCGTAGGCATTGACCAAACAGGCCCTTGGAAGTGACCCACAGCTACAAAGTGGGTACCCACTTGCATACTGACCAATTAGATATAGATTTGTACAGTAGTTAAGTGCATTCCTGTAAACCAAAACTTAATCTTTATCGAGCTGATAGAGGAGTACGCAGTGCATAGCTTGCTACCTTGATAAACTAAGATTTGCCAAAAAGTGACAGAAATGAACATTTTTTTTTGAGCCATAAATACAGCAGGGGAAGCCCCCACTGTTGGTATATATATTTAAATAAAGTAAATTGTACAGAGAGAAAGGGAGTAAGGGCAGACAATGAACAGTGGAATTTGAGTTCACATAGAGTAACTTCTTTCTTTGGTATGGCCTATCTTTGCAAGTCAATTCCATTTATATAGCTTAAAAATGTTAATTGACATGTCATTTGGTCTTATTCTAAAACAAAATAGAGTTTATACACATAGACAAGACAAATAATATGAAGCTCAGCAAATGTTGAGGCATTAAAAGTAGAAGCACTCAAGGCTACTTATTCTATAAATGGTTTAAGGACTAACAACAGCCGTTATAAAAAGAAAAGGACTAAAAGCAAAATAAAAGCATGAAATATTTACAAGAATACAATTTATTGGGTTACCATGTCTCCAAGGCCAAGCATCATGTAGTCACCAGGATTGCTTCCTGGAACAATCCCACCCAACAAATTCCTGGGAAATACAAGCTTGACAGGAAGCTCCAGCTTCTTTGTAATCAATTGCAACCCAGGCAGGCTGAGCTTATTTGCTACTGTGTGAACAGGATTAGATGCCTTCTGAGTGGCAACAGAGACCATGACATTTGCTCCAAAGAACCTTTCTGAGAAGAACACCCAGAAAATATCATACACAAACAAGCAGGCAAGAAGCAGCGCACAGATCTTTATGTTGGGAAGCCTCACATGGCTGACAAACGCTATACATATGGAAATCCCCAGTACGTTATTTAGCAACCAATGCCCTGAAACCAACCAGGCTAAGACTGTGGCTATGCAGAAGAGCATCAGCAAACCTTGCAATCGTGTAAATGACTTTGAACAACACCTGGACACGAATGGGTCCATTAGATTGAATTGTGTCTTGAGATAGGTGATGTGTGGAGACAGGCAAAAGAACAGTGTCATCGCTGAGGCCACAGCAGTAAAAGCAGTCACGAGATGTGAGACAGACGAGAACAAGTAGAACATCAGCAACAGACTGCATGAGCTTGCAAGGGGAATCATTAGAGCCTGCGACCGATCCAATGTAATGGAAGCCTCTGAAAAATCCAAGTTCCTCTCCATCTCTTTGCCATAGTCCAGAGCACGCGATGCTGATGCATAGGCCACAGAAATGGCTGTGGCAATTAGAGCAAGTGATGCCGGCTCGAGCAAGTAGGTCAATTTCCACAAGGATTCCATCCTATGTATGGAAAATCAATAGCAGTCCACGCTTATTCTATGCTCCGACTTACCCAACCCAGGTATCTTCAACCTGCCATACCAAAACAGCAAACAATAAGAAGCATCAAGGATAGCTATTTAGCAAATATTACATATAAAGCATGATTAATCCTTCTGATTCTTTTCTTGCTATGTTCCTTCCATTTAATCATTGTGTTTCTTGCTATGTTCCTTCCAATTAATCATTGTGCAAGCTCCTAAACAAATCACTCTAGTTTGACGAGAAAGATTGAAGGTTTTGCAGCAAAGATGATAAATTTACCGGAAATTTAACTCTCTGAGAGGCAGATTCAGCATGGGGGTTCAGTCTATTTATTTGGCAAAAATCAGCTTCCGGTGCATTTTTTATGGTAATTATACAGCATGATACAACAGAAGTGTTCAAACCTGGGTGGATGCCACCGCACCTTGGGTAGTCCAATGGGGGGCGGCCAACTCAAACGGATCTTGCGCAGGCTGAGGATGAAGAACCTGTTGGACCCGTGGATGGATTAGAGAAATACTACAACAAACACGAAGTAAACACGGCCGGCAAGGTAGAGAATTTGGAAAAAGGGAGAAGGAAAGATCCCCCAGAACAAAGCAAACTACTGAACAAGGGAACCTATCCTACCTAGCAGGGTGGTTTGGAGTTCCTCAACGAGGAAGGAAGGAATCAATCCAATTTTCGGTGGATCTCCAGGTCTTTCCGCGTCACGCCAGCGCCAGCGCAAAACCAGTAGAGGCGGCGCCGCAGGGAGGAAGGTTAGGCCTGGGAGAGAAGACTTGTGTAGTTGGGTGGAAGTAGGCGTGCGTGCGAGATGGCCGTCGTGGTCAGGCGAAGAGGATCGGTCTGCCTGGGGTTGACTAAAGGTGGGATCGGAGTCAGTGGCCGGCGGTCGATTGCCTGGCTTAGGCGCTGGACGGCCGGGCCAGAAGGCTGGCGGCGCGGCGGCGCCGCAGCGGCCGGCGGTCGATTGGCCCTCGCGGGTTGCGCTTGTGCCGGTGGATGGGGCGGCGGGCGGCTGCTAGGTTCCGCCTCGGCACTGTCGAGGGACGGTCGGACTGAGGGAGAAGAACGGGGGATGCCGGATGGGGATCGGAAGGGAAAGGGCGTCGGGCTCGGGGGACGTCGTGGCGTGGGGCCGACTAGAGCACTGCTGGGCCGGTACCGGTAGGAAAATGGGCCGCTCGAGTGCGCTGTGCGCTTAGAGAACTCAAACTATATAAATAGATAAATAGATTTTTTTTAAAAAATACCTCCAACAGCTTTTTTAACTCTCTGGCTCTGAAATGTAACCTGAAGAGAAGGGGGGTGGAACTTGATACAATTTGTTTTGTTTGCCAGAGGTTTGATGAGGATGGAGCCCATCTCTTTTTCAAATGCAAATGGTCTAAGAAATTGTGGCGGGAGTTGGGTTTGGAGGATGTCAGACTGCAGCTGTGCACCTTGCCGGACGCCAAACAGTGCATAGAAGCCGTTCTCCGTCTGAAACCTGAGAAGAGTGCGTTGGTAGCTATTTTGTTGAATAATTTATGGTGGGAAAGAAATAAGGCGAGGGAGGGTGACAGTGGAAGGGAGCAGCAGGAACTTGCTGGGATCACCTGGCGTCAATTTTGGGAATTCAGACAGCTGGTGGAGCCCAAACAATTGGTGCAGCAGGGCCATGCCCGAGCAAAATGGAGTCGCCCTCAAGTTGGTATGCTGAAGATAAATGTGGATGGAGGATTCAGTAAGGAGCACGCGCAAGGAAGTTGGGGCTATGTGATCAGGAATGATGAAGGAGAGGTTATCCAAGCGGGGGCAGGGAAAATAGCGCACGCGCTACAGCCCTGGCAAACTGAGTTGATGGCGTGCATCCAGGGGATCAAGGCAGCAATGCACTTGGGTATGGACAGAGTTGTCCTTGAAACAGACGCCTTGATGGTTACGCAAGCTTTGCAATCCACTGATTTCAGGTTATCGACGATGGGAGGTCTTGTGTATGAACTTAACGATCTACTCGCTACGGAGTTCTCTGAAGCTCGAGTTTCTTATGCTCCACGTATTTGTAATAAAGTAGCACATGAGTTGGCTAGATTTGATAGTTCGTGTCAGGGTGATATAGTGTTTCTACCTGGTAATCTATCAGATTGTATTCATGTGCTGGTGGCCAGTGATTTATCTGGTTCACAAGGTTAATGGAATCACGTGGTTCTCTAAAAAAAATAGATCTGTGTTATTCCCTATTTCTAATTTCTCGCTAACAAAAAAAGAAGATATAAATTATCTCTCTAGAATACGCAGAAGATAAAAAACTATTGAACCTTAGTTGAAACATGTCGGTATTGCGAGTTGCCACCAACAAGTAAATTTCTAATATTGCGCGTTTGCCTCGCATGGTGTGTTAAGAGGACATGAGGTTTATACTGGTTCGGGCAGAATGTCCCTACGTCCAGTTCGTTGCTGCTGCTCGTATTTCTAGCACTGAAAGTTCGTAGTAGGGGTTACAAACGGGCGAGAGAGACATGTCCCAAGTCTCTGATGGAAAGGGTGAACGGGTGGCGAGAGCTCGGTTGCTGCGCGGTTGTATGTTCGGGGTTCGATGAGTTGATCGGATTCGAGTTTCCTGTGGTTCGATGCGGTGTGTTGCGATCGTTTGTTCGATGTCCCTAATGGGACGCCCTGCTTTTCCTTTTATAGGCCAAGGGAAAGCAGGGTTACAGTGGAGGAAAAACGAAGAATCAGAAGGAGAAGAAGTCATTCAGGATCGTCGGGTCCTTCTTCTCTTCTATGCGGGTCCCGCCGACCCTGTAGACGTCAACAGGGACAGCTTCACGTCGCGGCCCTGTCCGTCACTGACGCCATGTGCAGGCGTCGTCTGTCGGTCATGGCGCTCCACTCCGTCCTGACGGACGTCGTGGCGAACTAACGTGCCTGTCAGTGTTCGTACGAGGGTTAGGCAGAACAGCACCGGTTTGCCCGACGCTGTTCCTGATGTGAGTCTTCAGGTATGGTCCGTCACGGCCTCGGGTTATATCGGGGCATGCCGGTCACCTCCCTGGTGTCAGAGCTTTGACTCAGACCCATACGCTTGGACCCGGCGTAGTTGGCGGCGGTATGAGTCTCCGTTGGGCGAGACGGAGCCCCCGGCCTCGAGGTCAGGCGAGGCGGAGTTCCTCCCCAGAGGCCAGGTGAGGCGGAGCCAACCCTCAGGGGTCGGACGAGACGGAGCCCGCTGCCTTGCTGTCGGACGAGGTGGAGCTGTAACACCTCCAGTGTTACATGAGCCCTTTTAGCACTAAACATGTAATTATTAACTTGTTAATAATAAATTAGAGCAAGATTAGAGTAGAAGAGAACTCAAAAATAGAATGAAATAAAATACATTATTATATAGAACGATATATATATATATATAGCTTTTGAATCTAATTTAAATTCGAGCTTTGTTGAAAATTTTCTTGTGCCTAGATGTTGCTAATTGTCTAAATTAGTAAACCGATAGAGATATATATAGGTATATATACACTCACATATTTCATTTTGGTAAGCATGTTGCTATATTAATTAAAGTAGTGTACAAATTTATTTCTTTCCGAGTGCATCTCTATAGATAAGTATACGTTTAAATATATAATAAATATATGCATGTGTGTATGGATATTAGTGATAAAAAAATAATGACATATTTGTAATTACATAATTATTTATATATTTGGTAAAAGAAAAAGAAAGAAAATGGCACAACACACTCATGGGCGTCTGTGTGCACGCTTAGCCTGGTCGCCGCTTGCTGTGCGCTGGCCTCGTTGCCAGCCTCGCCTTTGTGGCCGCGCTGTCGACGCCGCTTCTCGGTAGGCTGTCCAGCTGCTGCTACCGCGTCCGTCTCCACGTCGTGCTAGTGTTGGTCATGGTCGTAGTTGCGCTAGGGGTTACGACGATCACTCTAAAATTAACCGAACTTCGTTAGAACACGTTGGGGACGTGTCGTTGGCGCTCTGTTCGTGAACCGGCACCTGTAGCGAGCGATCTCAGCCGCTCATCTCAACTACCTCGCCCCGCTCGCTCTCGATCACTCATTCTACCTACCCAAATTACTGCTGCCGCATACTGCCTTCGCCCTGCCTTTCTCTTTCTCGGTCTCTGCCTCGGCTTGCCTGCCTCTGCTGGTCTTTGTCTGCCTCCGTTGTACGCCTCTGTCTTGCCTCTGCTTGCTTTGCCAAGCCGAGCACCCGCCATGGCTGCACCCGCCGTCACCCGGCCATGTGCGCTTCTGTGCCGGCCACTGTGGCGAGGACGCCCAGGTGGGCCACGCCGCGGCGGTGCTAGTGCTGTGCACCCGTGCTGCCGTGCCCTGCTGCTGCTCCATCCCTTGTCAGTGTCACTCGTCCACCATGGCACCACCTCACCTCACCGCGCCTCCCGCAAACAACCACGCCGAGAACCGAATCAAGGCCACTCCCGCCGTCGCTCGGCCATCGCGTGTGCGCGCGAGCGCGCGTGAACCCCCCACGGCCCCACATTGGAGCTGTAGCTCCACTGCGCTGCCCTTTCGAGCGCCTCCTCCATAGTTCACACATCGCGGCAGTGCTGGCGTGCCGCCGTCACCGGCCACCGCACGCGCAAGTGCGCCCAAGCCTCCGTGTTGCCCCCGCCGGGTGTCACCGACGTCTCTGTGGCCGTAACCCTGCGTCGCTGTCGTAGTATGCCTCCGCCGCCACACCCTGTAGCACAGCACCGCCTGCGCCACTGCCTACGGCCGCCGCCGCACATGGTCATGTTCCTGTGTGCCACGGCCACCTGCGGGTGCGCTAGGTCCCACGCGTGATAGTAGCCGCTCGCCGGCCTACCCTTGTTGTTGGCGAGGCCGCTCCCTGGCCAGAATCGGCCGTGCGTGGAGCCTCCTTTGCTCTGTATGTTGGAGGACTGTGGGACAAAAATAGAGAAGAAGAGGGGTGTAACAACCCAAAAATCCACACACCAAAAATCACAACTACAATTTTTTTTTGTTTAAACCTTATGTGATGTTGAGTGACACATGTAGAAGCCAAACCCTAGTTTTGGATTAGATGTAACCCAACTAGGTTAAAATCATAAGCATAGTTTAGTTTTATGCCACATGTATAATTAAATTCCTAAATAAACAAATCATGCATGCATCCTTAATTCCACTTGTGATTTGGATTCTTTTGCCTTATGTGATGTTTAACTAACTTACTTAATATTTATGATAAACCCGAATATATGGGATGTATTTTGACCACCAATTTAAACACCTTGTGGGACCCACTACATAACTCGAAGCTCAAGTTTTAAACTCTATCTAAATTTGAATTGAAGCAAAAGAAATAATAGAAAAAGAAAAGAAAAAGGAGGGAGGCAGCAGCACAGCCTAGCCTGCCTTGACCGGCCCAGCTAGCCTAGTCGAGCCTCGCCTGCCCTTTCACGTGCACAGCCGCTGACGAATCGAACCCGCCCGTCAGCCGTCACGCACCGCACGCTGCCGCATCAGGACAAGCTAACAAACGGGCCCCCTCTGTCAGCCGCCCAGCTACAGCGTCGTCGTCTTTCCCACGCTCCCTCCACCATGCGACCGGGAGCCGACCACGGAGCAGACGCGGGCCTGGGGTCACGCACATCGCATGACCCTGTTTCCCCTTGCGCCGCGCCTACGCTACCACACGCGAGCCGTCGGATGCGCCGCACGCATCACCACCGCCCGATCATCGTCCGCCATTGGAGCCCTTGGAGCCCGGCTATAAAAGCCAGCGCCCATGAGCCTTAACCCTCAGCCCGTTCACCGCCGCCGCTGGTGGCACAGCACCACACTGCGTCGAGACGAGAGAGAGGGAGGAGGAAGAAGCAAGGAGGAGAAAGAAGCCGCTGCAGAACCGGACCTCGTCGGAGCTAGGAGCGCCGCCCCGATTGGCTACAGCGACGTAGCTGCTCAGCACGGCACTGCATCGCCTCATCATGGCCTCGCCTCGCCACCGCACCACCATCCTACCGCCACGATCCCTACGGTGAGCCACGTCGTTCGCCGCTCACCGCGCTAGCCGTACTCGCCATGAACGCCACCGCGTTCCCACACCTAAGGGACGCAGAGGCGGAGCATTCCCACTCCTGGACACGCTGCACACATACCGCACGCGCACAAGCCCAAGGCCTAGCCCCATCGACCCCTAGCGGCTCGGGAACACCGGCACGACCACACCTAGCCTCTCGGACGCCATGAACGGACCACGCCGGAGCACGAGCTCTTGCTCTGGCTTAGCCAACCGGTAGCATAGAAGGACCACCACGACCCTCTTGTTGAGCCAAACGGAAACATGAAGCAAAGAGAAGAAAGGGGGCGACGCCGAGCCCTCTGCTCGGGAACGCCAACGCTGAGCACTCTGCTCATGCCATGCATACGCATCGCACGCACGCACGCACGCGCTCACCATGGCCAGAGCACAACCATGGCGAGACCACCGCGTCTTCTACGTCGCAGTAAAGGCGACGTTGACACCCTGACTGGCTCCGCCATGATGAGAGACACACCACGCTCACCTTAGCCAAGGATGAAGCCCACCGGAGCCCTGTGTTGCCGCACCGCACCTCATTGGAGCACCACCGCCTCCGCTTTGCCCCAACCACCATGGTCGGAGGCGTTGAGAGCTCCCGAAGCCCCTTCGACCTACTCGCCATGGCCATGGAAGCACCATGGAGCTCACACACTCCTCCAACTGGGCTCTCGCTACCACTGCACCCCTGTCCATGCACGCCGACGAACCCACACCGCCGTTCACCGCGGCCAGCCAACTGGAGCCGCCCGACCACCACGTTCACTTCACCAGGACACCCGCCATGGCAAGGACAAGCTTTTGCCCACCTTAATTGCACACCCGCGCCACTGGAGGGGCTCGCTGGTGAGCTCACCACCGGCGGGAGCACGCCTGGGAAGAAGATGGGGATTTTCCCCTCGCCAGCCACACGTCCGTGCACTTGTTGCATGTGAACCGAACCCTGGGAAGGAGTAAGTGGACCAAGTCCTTCATAGACCGGCTCTGCGGTCTATGGACCAACGTAGACGGGTTCACCATGAGCCGTGCCTCACCTATCAGTCACCGTTTGACCCCGGACCCACCTGTCAGTGACCAACCAAGATGATGACGTCATGCTGACGTCAGCGGGACCCCACCTGTCAGCCACGGTTTAGCTCTGATGATGCCATGCTGACGTCATGCCGGAGATGAGACCACGCCAGCGTCGGGAACCTCAGCGACCACTCCGACCACCTCCGCGATCCAACCACCTCCGCGATCTCACCGACCACCTCCGCGATCTCACCGACCACCTCGGTGACCCTTCCGACCACCTCGGCAACCTCACCGACCACCTCGGCAAGCTCTCCGACCACGTCAGCGACCCTTCCGACCACTTCGACGACCTCTCCGACCACCTCACCAGCTGATACACCACTCTGAGACCCTACATGCCACGTAAACCAGTCATAGTGTGACACGTGTCAGCCCTGAATAAATCAGCTTTAATTATGTTCAGAAATGGATTTAATCTTCGGAAATTCATAACTAATTCATACGACCTCAGAAAAATACAAGACCAGGACCAAAATTCATCTAAAATCGAGCTCTACGCAATGAACCCATGTTTGAGTGCATTTGGCTCTTTTGAATCTTCATTGCTTCTTTGTGCTATTCTATAGACGTCGCTAACGCGACCATAATTCGATCGTATGCAGACTCAGAGGAGAACCAGATGGACGAGGACCGAGAGTACCGTGAGGAGTACAGAGATGACTTCACTAAAGGTGCCACATCCTATCCAACCTCGTAGCACCTATTACGCATGGCTAATATAGAACTATTAGTGCTTTACTTTATTGTTATGATCACACTATGATAGGACTTGCATGATAGTATGCTTTCTTGATGGCCTTTACCTTGACGCAACCTTACCCCTGCTCAACCTGCTGTTAGGCTAGTCACATGCTTGCTGCTATATTTTCATTGCTTGTTACTTCTACTACGCTTGCACTGCATTGATGCGTGGTGGAAACTGGTGTTATCTGGACTATGGGGAGAGTGTTGCGTGTGTGACTTGGGTGCGTGGAGGGTGAGGGTTGTGTCGACCAAGTTGGAGTATATGACGAGCCTGGGGCAAGTCTTGCCGTGGGGTGCTACCTGGGCACCCCTGGAATGGATAACTGTGGTGGGTAAAACGGTATATAAGGTGGCCCTAGGTGTGAACCTATGATGGGAGAAGCCCGGGGTGGAGGTGCTGTGGTGGCACGGTAAATGGAAACCCTGATGAAGACATTCTGGCTTGGTCATCCCTAAGGACTTACTAGTACTCAGATTCACCGAAAAGCCTTACGTACCACTCGCCCTATATGGTGCGGGACGGCCGGACTACTGGGTAGGATATTGCCACTACTGCTAGGTTGATAGCGGACAGTGTGAGGGAGGTACGGGGCGCGGAGGATCCCCTCACACCCTTCCGAGACTTCATGGAGACCTTGTGGACCCGGTTCATGACTCACAGTTCCAGCCACCCCAGACCAGACTTGGGGTGTACCAGGGCTGAATGGTAGAGTGACACTATCCTAGGCTAGCAAGCGGCCGGAATCAGCCCAGTTGACAATGGTCAGCGAGGAAGGCGGATCTTGTGGTTATGTAAAACCTCTGCAGAGTGTATGGTTGATCGACCGATACATATGCCGACTTGTCGGCTATGGACCTTTCCTGGGTTTCGCTTAAACTAGATAGTGAGATGAGTCCTTCTCTTCTCCCCCAGGGAGTGAGTGTTCGGACGTAGCCAGGGGCTACGGGCCTTGAGACAGTGCCGAGAGGGAGTTGGCCTGTCGACTGAGCGATGGTATGGTGATGGTGTGGAGATGGTGGTGAATCGATCCCAGGATCGAAACCTGGCTCTGGACGGAAATGGGGTGAAATGGGTGTGGGAATGGTGTTAAAACTTGACCAACTATTATTATAAACTTGATATGCTAATACATAGGAAACCCCAGCCTTATAGGTTTCTTTTAAATATATCCAACTTGCATCAAATTTCCACAAAGCAATGCTCATAGGGTGGGAGTGGCCAGTATAAATCGTACTGATAAATTTTGGCACACAGGTTCTGCTGAGGAGTATAGCTCCGAGGAGTTTGACGGTTGAGGGGTTCGTTCCTGCGCTCAAGTTTGGTGATCTTATCTTCAAGCTATTCTGAATGAA